ACGAGGACATGCTTGTACGTGAAATATTGTTACTTATTAGGTTTATGCATGTTTGTATGGTCTTCTTCCTGAGACATTTTATTTTGATTAAGAGTTTCAGAGGTTTGCTCGTTAGTATTTGAGTCCTCTAGTGTGGGTTACTGGTCGAACGACTAAGGTGATCACCGGGCATGGGTCGGAACTCAGGTCTTGTTTTGAGGGCTCGAGCTCAACGACGTGAACTTCCCATTGTGATCTAGGTGTTCTGCCATCGTGGTACGACGACAGTGGAACTCGTTTGAGTTTTCCACGCCGGGCTAAGAACCTGCTTGTTAAAAGAGTGGAGACTTGCCTCTTTGTTTAATTTGGAGTTCCATACTTGTACCTGGGTATGCACATGTGGTCGGGAAAACTGTGTTCGTTGTTTCGACGGGACACTCCGACTGTATCAATGTCTTAATTGTAATATTACCTTAGTTTTTCGATGTTCCAAGGTCGAGTAAGTTGTTCCCCGTGTAGGTTTTCGAGATAATATGCCCCACTTCCGTTTTTTCTCATACATGATAGTATCTCTTGGATGACAGGCTTAATCCGCCTCTCTTCTTTGTTCTCCCGAGCTTCGACAGGATGTCTGCTCGGTGTTGCGTTCGCGGGGAACGTGAGACTGCTCGATAAATGTGTTCGTGGGGAACATGTTCCTCTCGAGCAGTTGTGTTCGTGGGGAACATGTGCTTGCTGAGCTGTTGTATTCGTGGAGAATGTGTGCCTGCTCGACAGTTGTGTTCGTAGGGAACATGTGCCTGCTCGGCCATTGTGTTTGTGAGGAAAGTGTTTCTGCTAAGGGTTGTGTTTGCAGGGAACATGTGCCTGCTCAGTAGTTGTGTTTGTAGGGAACATGTGCCTTCTGAGCAGTTGTGTTTGTAGGGAACATGTGCCTGCTCGACAACTGTGTTTGCGGGGAACATGGTTTATTTATTCGCTCCTCTCGTCAAAGAGGCTGGTGAGGCCATTTATGTTGCGATGTCGAGCATACTATGCATTCACTTTCTCCTCATATTGGATGTATTCATGGGCTTTGAGGAGGATGGCGTCTAGTGTGGCCAGTGTTTCTATGCCAACTGCTTTGGCAAAATCGTTACGGGGGCGCAGCCCTCGCTCGAGCAAGTACTTTTTCATATTGTCAATCGCGGATAACTGAATGAATTCTCTGTTGAACCTCTTGATGTATGCTCAAAGTGATTCTTCTTTTCCTTGTATGATTGCTTCTAACGAGGTCTCTGTCTTCGGATGAAGGCGAGAGGCAATGAAGTTCCTTGAGAACATCTTCACCAACTGCTTCCATGAGTCGATGGATTTGTTGGGGAGGTTTTTGTACCAAGACATTGCTCCTTTTCTCAGAATTGTTGGGAACAACCTGCATTTGATCGTGCCCTTCACGCCTCGGTAATCAAGTTGGGTGTTGATAACGCGAAATTATATCGTATATTTGGCTAGACTTGCATACATTTTAGTACAATTTTCTATTAATTATGTTGCATTATGTTGGCATTTTAAATTTGTTTCAGGTATTTATATTCCACAAGGCCTACTTGAGAAAAGGAGAAGAAATGGAAAAGAAATGGATTGAAAATCGCAAAGTAGCACAAAAGCAGCATAAAATTCTTATCAGAAGGTTGTGACGATCGTCACACCTCCCTGACGCTCGACATAAGTTAAGTATGTGTGCCCCTCGGCATATATAGCATGATGATCGACACGTAATAAAGATATGTGTTCCCCACGATACACAATACATGCCACTCGTCACAGGCTATTTTCAGTGTTTGATACAAAGTCTTCTTCACATAACCACTCACAAAGCCCAACTTCCCATTATCACCCCATGGTCTTTTCAACTTCCCATTTTTCCACTTCTTTCTCCATTATCTCCACTACTTCTCACATAAAGCTTGAAGTAACTTCCATTTTATTTCTCTATATATAGGACCTTAGAAATTAGTTTTGGAGATCCAAATTTGTGCGAGGAAGCACTGTTAGTAGTTTTAGGTAGCAAACTACTCATGTAAAAGTTGTAGTTTCTCACATTGAGGAACTAACACACCATTAGTATAGGCCTATAATTTGTGTAACGCTTGGATCAATCTTTCCGACATTATTTCAAAGTTCTATTCAAGTTTCAAATTTTTTTTAGTTCATAGTTTTATTCAAGTTTATCTCATCTACTTTACTTCCAGGTTTATTTGTTTGCAATTATTTTAGTTTCTTGTTCTTATAATTTTGTCTTATCATTAAAAATCTAAATATTCCTATGTTAATGGTTAATAATTATAATTGCATATTTGTTTCTTTAAGTATGTCTGACTAAATAGTTTTGAGTCCGGTATGTGAGGACAGTCGCTTTTGACGGGACTCAGTAACAATGTTGGCTTAATTAATCAATTAGAAATTTTTGTTTTGGTCTTTTTTTAAAACTTAATTTAAATAGCTTTGTCACGAGAGTGAGAGGTTACTTGACACGATTTTGCCATGAGAGTGGGAAATTAACTAAGGTTAGAGCCGACACTGCAAAAGCGTGGGGGCCGAACCAGATAGTATAAACTAGGCATTAATTCCAAACACAACGAGAGCGCTTTAGGATTAATTAGAACTTGTTCAGTTTTCAAAATACATTCCTTAATTAAAATGGGCGAGCGAGAGCAAAATCTCATGGTTAAGGAATGCAGATTTATTCAAAACCACGAGAGTGTGAGGTCCAGTCTTTAAATTGATATTTTCTATTTAGCATATTTTTAACATTAGTATAACCCAATGAGTTACAGAGTCTCAGGTACGCGAAATACACATTCCAGTCTCTCTTTTCATATATATATATATATATATATATATATATATATATATATATATATATATATATATATATATATATATATATATATATATATATATATATATATATATATATATATATATATATATATATATATATATATATATATTTCCTTAATCTTATTTTATTTCAGTTTTAGTTCTTAGTTTCTCTTAAATTAATCATTCATTAGCCTTAGCTTTACAACGCGATAATAGATTACAGTAGGTTGACATTGACCTCTGTGGGCTCAACAATCTTTTATATTACTTCGATATTTTCGTGCACTTGCGGACGCATCAGGCGTCAATGTCTTCTTTGTAGTCATCTGGGTCGGTCGTACCATCGTAGGATCCCAACAAGGGTGACTTCTCGAGCCCGACCAGGAGTCGTGTCTCCATAATTTCTTTTGATAACAGACCGTGGGGCTCTTCGTCATCGGTACCTTCTGAGAAGTGATGGTTTCTTCTTTGTTGAGCGTCATTATCTCGTCGAGGGGAGGAGCTCCACCCTCGTTGCCTCAGTTTGGGTGATAGTGACCTGTTGCGGTCGTCTTTGCATGTGCTCTTCGTCTTCTTGGAAAATAGAGAGTCTTTATCCTTCTTGAGAGATGCTCGATCACGTTTCTTGCAGAAAGAAACGTCGAGCCTTTCCTTTATTAGAGGACGCCCAACTCGGGGAGGCGATATACTGGAGGAATTATGTCGCCGATGTCTCTAAGGGAGAGACCTTGACTGTTTCTGCTCCAGAGCCCCATCCCTTTGCTCTGCTGGAGGATGAGGGAATTGGTTTGGTTAAGGGCAATGACCGATGCTGCTATGGCTGGGTCAACATTCTGCGGGACGGGAGCCGATTGTAGACTCTCGGGTTGATCTTCAACAGGGTTCTCGGGAAACTGCTCGTCCAAGAATATATTGTTGTCGCAATCAACATCGATGGAATTCAGGGATGCAGTATTTCTGTCACGGACCACAAAGTTATCCTCGAGATGAGGATTTTCTTGGCTTCTGCCGGTCTTGCGTATCAGAGAGTGTACAATCTTTTTCAGATAGTTGGTGATTATCATGGTCGCCCATGGTTGATGAATGAGGAAAATCTTTGGTCTTCAGATTCCGGGGAACAGAAAACAGGGAAGATAGTTTCCTACAGACGACGCCACTGATCTTACTGGTTAATCAGAACCTGCAAGGTGGCCGAATGATGATCTTCAGATGGACTGGAAAGGTCAATGAGAAAGAGGGGATTGTACATGCAAGAGACTCCGACAATCAAGTAAGTGTGAGAGCCAAGAGATACAAGCAGAATATTAGGATTTCAGAGATAAATAATGAATACCCGACCCTCACAAGTGTGAGGCTTTATATAATAGCCTTGATGCGTAGCCATTGGTTCCTATTCTTGGACCTAGATATCTGGGTCCGTAAATGTAGGAACTGCCAACACCTGGTCAAAACGGGCAGTCGTGCCCGTAACTAGCCGTTGCATCGAGCAAGGATGAGATGACGAGCATAAACGTTCACGAGCGTTTCCTGGGTGTCTCCTCGACGTGTGTCGAGCAGACCGAGAAGGAAGTTGGCCGTTATGACGAGCATATAGGTGCTCACGGACAAAGGTGATTCTGGGTGGCTGGCAGGAGGAGAACTAACTTGTTTGAGCGGGAGTATATGGTCTTGTTGGTCCTGGAGAACAACCGACCACGTGTCCCCGACTGAGGGGCATAAACAGTTGCAGGCATAGGTGCTGTTGAGGACAGCGGTGGTCTCGTTAGTCCTGAATGGACAACCGACCACACCTCCTCGAGTGAGGGAGAGGGAAAATGTGTCCTTTATTTTCTCTAATTGACCGGACCAAAGCTGTTGGACCATTTTAAATATAGAAGTGGAATGAACCATGCCTATGTATTTAACAAGACCTGAACATAAAAATAAATAAATTATTGTAAAGAGATAAATAGAAAATCTCTTGTAGATGAAGTTTTGATGCGAGACATGTAGAGAAGGAAAGATGAATATAATTCTTCAAATTATATCATAATTTATTTAATACTTCTAATTTCCAATGCAGCGCGGGCGTCCCAATTCATCTCCAGATCTGACACATTTGCGATTCATTCTCCTTTCGTTCATCAAAAAACTGCAACCGTACGAGAGAATCAATGACCGATCAAGAGCCATCAGTATCCACCGAAGTTTCCGGCATCGCCGAAGTCAAAGAATGGCTTGCCAAAACCTTTGAAGTCGCCGGCAAACCCGTTCCTGAATTCCAATACACTCCACGCAGTGTCTCTCACTTGCACCATCTCTCTACACTATCCAAAGCCAAAGACGAAGCCGCTCGTCTCGTTGCGCGCGATTTTCGCCTCAAAGCCTCCGAATATAGATCCCAAGGTAACGTAATCACTTCACTTAGTACCAGTTAGGGTTAAGTTAGGCTAGCTTGCTTTCCTTTTAGTTTTCCCTCTTTCTAAAATGTATTTGGATTCGATTTTGCATTGTAGCTGCAAGGATTAGGGAAATTCTGGAGAATGTAGGTTTGGCGCAGGAGAGTTTGCCGTCCAGTGTGGTTGCGTCGGCGCAGGTTCTTGCGAATGTATCTAACTTGTTGAATATCAGAGATACTGAACTTAGTAGGTGTGTTTCACTCTCATCATTTTTGTCTGTGTTTAATTTCTGCGTTGAATTTTGAATTTCGGAAATTTTTTTGTTCCATAGTTTTCTTGTGGCAATGGGTGATATTTCCCTGAGGAAGACTGGTGTGGAGGAAAAAAGGGCGAAAGTGCAGAAAGAGTCGAAGTTTCTTCTTGATTATACTAGAAAGGCTTTATCCAGGCTAACTTATTTGAAAAGGTAGGTCTAAATTTTTTAGCTTCATAAATATCTTGGTACTAAATAATTTTTGAAGAATTATACATTAGAATCTACAAATTAAAATGTAGAAATTTTTTGTGAAAATACTACAATGAATTAGAAAGTTCACATGAAACTAGAAAGTTTTAATTTGTCTACCAAAAACTTACAGTAATGTGCTCAAGGGGGACAAAATGTCCTAGCTTTTGGTATACAATGTTCTTTTGTTCCTCACTTGTGTAGTATGATGCAATGCTTGTGCAGAACAGAATCCCAATTGGCAGAGGAACAACCTATGTGTCAGGCTCAAATGGAAAGTTGGAGCACAAACTTGCAAGTTATGGCTGCAAAAGAAAGGCAGTACATGCAACAATCTGCCAACTATAAGGTACACAGTTTTGTTTTTTGAGGGGAGGGGGTGCTATTGAACTTGGTTCTTTAAGTTGAGGTGTGTTTTGAGAGTAACAGGAAAATTAGGGGAGTGTATTTGATGTTAGCAGGATGTTTGGTCAATCCGTAATTAAAAATCCACTGAATAGAGACATAATTATTGATGATATTCTGAGGAAACAAAAATTTCCACTGAATTAGAGTACACATAATTGAAGTGGGCAGTTGCAGATTCGACTGTTGCCAAAGTTATAGTTCTGACATGGAATTTGATAGCCTGTATCTCTCCCATTTAAAAAATAAACACTAATTATACTATATTACTTTTTGTACAAAAGCCCAGATGTTTTCTGGGTAGGGTGTCACAATAATCAACTAATCATAATGCTACAAGAACCGGATGAAATTACTTTTATTTCATGTTATTTTCATAGCCTGCATTTCCTTATTTCCTATTATGCATTTTTCTGTATTTTCCTAGTGGACACGTATTGCATTTTGCAGCATATTTATAGAAGATGAGGTGGTTAGAATATTCCAATTTGTAACAAACTTGCTTAAGTAGAGCTTGGTGGCCAAATGAAAAAGGGTCTAATAATTCAACAATCAATTCTCTTCCTAAATCCTCTGAAATTCTGTTAAAGCAACTCACCTTAACAGAATTCATTCAAAATCTGAATTGCCTGTGTTGAGTTGGGGTTATTCTTGATTAACCACCCGAATATTCATATCTCATTCTGTATTAGTCCCAAGCATGACGATGTGCAATCAAACCTTAGCTGACCTAGAGAAAAAGGTCAATGGTAGATGTGCTGATCTCATCGTTCGCGTGGAATAGATGCGTTTGAGCATGGAAGAAATTTGTGCCTTCATCCACAACCAAGCAGCTTGTCCCCGACCTGATGGTTCATCCATAAACAGCCGTTCTGGCACCCGCACCGGCCTGCGTGTTGATGGTCACAATTCGTACTCCACTCACATCTCCAAATTGGAATTTCTACATTTTGACGACAAGCAGTTGGAATAAAGGTTGTACAAATACACCCAGTTCTTCCGACAAACAGTTGAAAGAATGGTTGTACAAACACACCCAATTCTTCTACCTGGAAGGCATGCCCGATGAATCCAAGGTCCGTTTCGCCTCAATCCACTTAGACGGCATTGTTCTGCAGTGGCACCTCAATTGCATGCCTGATAAATTTGATGTTTACCCACAAATGCAATGGTCTAAATATCTAGCCGACATCGCCGTGTGTTTCGGCCCATTATATTACGACATGTTGGCCAACCTTATCCAAGTCAAATGTACCAACTCAGTACAAGAGTACACCGATGCTTCTGAACTTGCTTTGACACAGGTATGGTTACTCCAGTCCCCAAGCACTCATTGAGTATCTTTCCGTCTGGCTTAGATACTAGTACGCAAATGTATGTTGCATGTTTTATCCCACCTCCATTCCCCAAGCTGCTAACCTAGCTCGTTTACATGAAGCCTCCAAACCTACACCCACTAAATTTGACTTTAAACCTTTAGATTACCCAAAACACCACCTCTTACTACCTTACTGACCCAAACGCCTTCCCGGAAACCTTTGATAAACTTGTCCCCCTTGAACCTATAATGCTGCAGAAATGGCTAACTCAGGGCCAAAGATCTTTGCATTTTCAATGATGAACCTTTTGTACGGGTCACCAGCCTTAGCATAAATGGGCCCAGGTTTTGTCATGGAAATGGAAGATGACATTCGGAATCCGATTGAAGAGCCATCCCTGTCCATTATTGACCCCGGAAAACCAGCGCCTGAAGTATTCCCGCTGCAACCCCACTCTTATCCGTCAATGCTATGTCCGGGACTGTCAACTTTCACTCACACTATGTTATAGGAACCCACAACAAACAAGTGACACATTTTATTAGATGGTGGAAGCACAAGTGATTTCTTGGATCTTGAGGTAGCCAAGAAATTGGGATGTAAATTAGAAAAAATTGCTCCTATGTTTGTGACTGCTGTGGGGGGAACCAAATTAGAAGCTCCATTCATTTGGAAAATTTTTTCATGGGAGCTGCAACAATCTACATTGCGAAGACTAAAAAACAATAGTAAACATAAATTCCAACTAACATACATAAATACTTAAAAACAAAAATTTCTACATGTATGCGCCGATCCCCCAAAATGCTATAGCGGATAACTGCTATTGTGAAGACTAAAAACAATAGAGGACATAGTAAACATAAATTCCAACAACATACATAAATACACGAAAAGAGAAATTGCAACAACATATATAGTAAAATTCTAACAATAGACATAAACTCTAACATGCATATCCCATCAAAATGAGTGGTCAAGAAAAGGGTGGGAAAGACCAAAACTATATTCAAAATATAGCTAATGCCTAACTAATGCAATATAGTAGGAGTTGGTTTTATTTTCTTCTTTTCCACGGCAAAACTAAACTCCATCGCCGTCAATCAATCTTGATTTAGTACATGTGAATGCTATGATAGTCAACTAGAAATGTCAAAACCATTCAATAATTATATCATAAATTTGTTTCTCTTTTCCTTTATTTATTCTAAAACAGAAACACAGACATAACCCATAACTTCCACACATAACTGACATCAATAGAAATAACTACCCATAACTGCCCATCAATAAAAATAACTACCCATAATAATAAGTCTATCAACCTCATTATTATTAGTCTGCTGCAAAATAACTCTCATCTTTGTTACATGCTCACATGGCTACTGATGCTTTGCTGCTATTTTATTTTCTCCTGCTGTATCGCTGAGTGTTGTGAGGGTGCCTATCATTCTCTCAAACAATTTTGTAGAAATGTATATCAAAATTGACAATGCTGTATGAATCTTTGTTTTCCCACTCCCAAATCAGCCACACTTGGTCTGCCACATGCTTTTATTGCAATCGAATTATTATTATTTTTAGAAAGGATTGCAAGAAGTAAGGTAGATTTTGAGAGGAACTTTTGAACCTACAAATAATCACGTTTGGGTCATTAAAATTGGCAAATTCAAGTATACTTCTATAGATTAACACTCGAAGTCTAGAGAAGTTTAGTATAGAAATTTTCAACCGTGTCTCTAATCCACCAAGATCATCAAATGTAGAAAAGGAAAAAAAGTATTCACTCAAATGACCGAATGCCATTCTTTACTAACATGCATATCTAAAACAAAAGCGGACATTGCAATCAATATTTACATTACTTCTAATTACCAACTTTGCATACAAAGAAATAAATTTCTAAAGTCATTCAACTATTAAGAATTACTAGTGTCTAAGCACAACCAACCAAAATAAATTTGATCTGAAAGGAGATTTTTCTGAAATCTCCGGTAGGTATCTGCAGTTGAACAACCTCATGGAAATATTAGCTCTTCTAGTCTTGGGCGGATAACATATTATAAACTGACTAAATCTGATGTACAAATTATCATTGTATTCTGAATTTTTATATTTTGATTTCTTGAATGCTGAATAAAATTTGATGCAGGCGGTGCTCAACCATACAGGGTATACCCCAGAGGTTAGCCACAGTGTTTTGGTTGAAATGGCTGAGCATAGGAAGGAGCTGGAAAGGAAAACTAAGCCCATCCTTGATACTCTTAGGAGCTATCAAGATTTGCCTCCGGTATGTCTTATTTCTCACGCTCTCCATTTTAGTTCTGGAGTAAAATAGAAGAACTTTGTTGCGTTTATTCTGATATTTTTGGTGGGTTGGAATTATCCAGGATAAAGCTCTGGCTGCATTAGCAATTGAAGATAAAAAAAGGCAGTATGCTGCTGCTGAGAAACATCTTGAAGATGTATTGCAAACAGCTCTTTCAAATTCAGGGTGATTACACTACAATAATTTCATGTGATGTTTTCTGGGTTTGGTTTAAAGTTTATGTTTTTTAAACCAGACTAAAAACAACATTGATATTTTGGTGCTTCGGTTGATGAATGGATGCAAAGACATTTGATAGCCGTTGATGACTCATATATTAATGGGTTAAATATAAAAACACCTGCAATATTAGCGAATTCATGTTTTAGTCCTTTGTAATTTTTTTTTAATTCCCCTCTTGTGTTATGTAGATTCCCTCAGATTACCCCCCATTGGCCAGATGTCATGGAATCTTGAGTGACATGTTGAAATATTTGCCACGTCCTATTTTCAATTTAGCCACATGGCATTTTCATTCAAGCATCAGGGTTTGTAATTTTTTTCCTATTCGTTATACCCCCCTGCCAAATTAGGGTTTATGTGAAGACTGAGTTGTGAAGACGACGATTCCGTAGGCGACGGAGCAAGACGAAGCAATACGAAGCAAGACGACAATTTTGTAGGCGACGTAGGTTGACGACGAAGACGAAGCTTGCAATGTCTAAGGTATGTTGATTTTGAAACTTTAATACAGTTAAAGTGTAATACGGTGGGAATTTTATGATAACTGAGTTTGATGCATTCACAAGATTTCCAATCTTTTACTGTTACTTTTCACCATGGGGGTGAATTTATTAGGGTTAATACGACTGGAATTATTTACAAAGGAGAGTTGATTCTATTGTAAATGGGCTTGAAGTTACTAAGTGGACGATGGATTGCATTATGAAGTTGGTACGTGCGTGGGGGTATAAGAAGCGGACTTTTCGTTTATGGACGAAAGTTTTAGAGATTCAAGAAGGATATATTTTGATAAAAAGGATGATGATGCATACAATTTTGCATAATTCTTTAGTGCAATGAATATGGTTGGACATTTATTTGTGGAACATTCTCAGGGAGGATTGTATGCTGATGATACGAAACTTAACTGTGTCAATGAGGTGAATGAAATGGATGGGTTGGAAGAGGAGATGGTTGAAGGTTTAGATGACAGTGAAGATGAGAGAGCTACTGCTCTGCTTGATGGATTTGAAGGAATCGATGTTACATTGCCATTAAATGAAGATGTAAGTCTTAGTGGGCTTTTTGGTAGGCCCAAGAAGACCACAAATGAGGATGAATACCTTTGTGATGAGTTGAATAGTGATGACCCAAATGATTCTTGTGATGATGAAAGGCCAAGTATGAAAGGTTTAGAAAAGATCACTTTAACAAGGACTATAAGTTTAAGATGGATATGAAATTTAATTCACTTGTGGAATTTAGGGAGGCTATTCGTGAGTGGTAAGTCCTCAATGGGAGGGAGATTACCTTTGTTAAAAATGAATGTTATAGGGTTAAAGTACAATGTAAGGTTAAATGTGGCTTTTTGGTCTTATGCTCCAAAGTGATCCACAAACACACTTTTGCAATAAAAACACTTGTGGATATCCACACATGTGCTAGGGTTTTGGAAAACAAATCTGCAAACTCTAGGTGGGTGGCTAAGCACGTGGTAAAGAGGCTACAAAGTTCTGATAATGTTAGGATAAGAGACATAATGCAAGAGATAAGGCAAAACTTTTCTGTAAGGATTACTATTGCAAAAGCATGGAAGGCCAAGTTAATTGTTAAGAAGATAATTGAAGGTGATACAGATAATCAATATGCATCCATATGGAGGCATGCTGCTGAATTAACAAGAGTGAATCCTGGTAACACTGTCAAGATCAATGTTGAAAGACCTACTCTTTCCATACAGCCTAGGTCTGGATCTTTTTATTTTTGTTTTGATGGGTGCAAGAAAGGATTTATCAATGGTTGCAGACTATTCGTGGGGGTTGATGGATGTCATTTGAAGACAATATGGTGGACAACCACTAATTGCTGTGGGGAGAGATGCTAATGATCAGTACTTTCCATTGGCATTTGGAGTGGTTGAGACAGAAACTAAGGAGAGCGAGAGGTCGTTCATACAACTATTGATGGAAGACATTGGTCAAGAGAAAAGGGTATGTATTCATCTCTGATCAACAGGAGGTATGCGTATCCTTAACTGTTAGTAGTTTATTGATTAACTGTTATTAACTTGTTGAATCTGTATTAAATGTGCAAATGTTTCTGCTTTAGGGACTAGTTGCTGTCTTCGAGGAGATGTTTGACAGGATAGAACACAGACTGTGTCTCAGACATTTATATGCGAATTTCAAAAAAAAATTTGGTGGTGGATCCCTCATAAGGGATTTGATGATGGGGGCTGCTAAAGCTACATACCAGCAAGCATGGTCCCAGAAGATGAATGAATTGAAGAAAGTGGAACAAAATGCTTGGACTTAGTTGATGTTTGTCCCTACTAAGAGTTGGTGTAAGCATGCGTTCACTTTTTACCTTAAATGCGATGTTTTGATGAATAACATATCTGAATCCTTCAATGCTACAATACTAGCTGCTAGGGATAAATCCATACTAACTATGTGTGAGTGGATAAGGAAATACCTTATGAATAGGTTGTCTACATCTGCCACAAAACTAGAAAAATGGTAACATAAAGTGATGCATATACCCAGGAGAAGGTTAGATAATGAAGTATACAATAGTGGGCATTGGCTGCCAACATGGTCCATAGCTGAGCAATTCCAAGTCACCCATACTTACAACCACTAAGAGTTTATAATTGACATAACTAAAAGGTCATGTAGTTGCAACTTATGGGAGTTAATGGGAATACCTTGTAGGCATGCTGTGACAGCTTTGACTTATAGGAAGCAAAACCCAGATGACTTTGTTGATGAGTGTTACACTAGAGAAAAATTTGCAGTTTGTTATGTATTTTCAATAAGCCCTATCAATGGTCAGGATATGTGGCCAGAAGTAGAAATGGAACAAGTTTTACCACCATCATACAAGAGAGGTCCAAGAAGGCCTAGGAAGGTAAGGATAAGAGAAGTTGGAGAGGAAGGTGCAAGAATAAGAAGACATGGGGTTGCATATAAGTGCACAAGATGTGACAAGTTTGGGCACAATGCATTGACTTGCAAGTCATTGACACAAGATCCCAATGCCCTGAAAAGAAAAGTATAATTGTTTCTCAAAATTCATTATGTTGTACAAACATTTTTGTGACTAATCTAACATATTATTAATTATGCAGAGGAAAGTTAAAAACTTTGGTGAAGCTGAGAGTACAGTTCCAACTGATGCACAAAGTGCAGATGAGAATGCTAGGGAGAAATCTATTCCAACTAATGTACAAAATGCAGATCCAACTGATGGGGAGAAGTCTGTTCTAACTGATGTACAGAATGCAAATCCAATTGATGGGGAGAATTCTATTCCAACTGATGTACAAAATACAACGCATAGTGCTGGGGAGAAGTCTGTTCCAACTCAGAGTGCTGTTGTGGCTAACTCAAAGAAATAGAAAGGAAATAAGCCAGTTATCAAAAGATGGCAAAGTGAAAGGATTAAGTTGAGTTGGTTTAAGAAACCAATTATAAGCCTAGGATCTAGTGAGCAGTCAATCACCATAACATAAGTTGGAGAGAAGTCAGGTTCAAAGGACTCCAAACTAGGAGTGAAAATAAGGTTTATGAAGACATGGGGGACCAAAAAAATTAGAGACTAAGTTTTACGTTATCTTCAATAGACCTAAGGGTTTGACATATGTACCAAGTGTTGTGCCTTTTATTTGCTTGTATTATTATTGTGTTTGACACATGCATCAAATGTGTCTTTTGGTAATATTGTAATAGACATATGCAGCAAGTGTACCTTTTGGTAATGCTGTAATAGACATATGTACCAAGTATGCCTTTTGGTAATGCTGTAACAGACATATGCACCAAGTGTGTTGTTGTAACTTTGTTGTCAAAATTTTATTCAACTATGCTGTCAAAATTTTGTAACTTTGCACCAAGTTATTTCAACTGTCTTAGACATATTTTGTTGTCAAGATTTTGCTTTCAATGAATGTAACTTTGGTGCTATAGACATATTCAATGTCAACGAATGTAACTTTAACTAAATTACACAAAACTTAAAATTTCATTCAACAAAACATAATTTGTCTTGCATTGGCCACCAAAAATTAGAGTTTAATTCAACACAAACTTGTCTGTCTTACAAACTATGATAGACCAAGATCCAATTACAAACCATATCAACTACTTAAAATACACAACTGTAAAAAACATCCAAGACATAACAATTGCAGTCATCATTCAGAAATTCTTTGTCTTTTTCAATGCAACCTTTCTCTTCAGTTTTTCTATCTTGTTTGATCTCTCCTCAACGATCTCCTTCGCAAATAACCCTTGCTCATGTCACATTCGCAACATCTAGATGAATTTCCTTCAGCCTCGCTAACCATGTCGTCCCAGAGAAATAAACCGCAACCATTCTGTATTTTTTCCAATATTAAAACATAAATAAATGAGAAGTTTCATATAAGAAGAATTACAATCTTATAAACAACTCACCATGGAATTTCTGCATTTCCATAATTTTCTGCTTGGATTTTCAACGGTGTTAGACACCCATAACTTCATGTTTTCGTTGCAGCCACATCTTGGCAAATCCTTACTTGTTGAAGAACACTTGCTTCCACCCATGACGACCGAACGCCTGTAGACGACAGAAGCTTCAATGGAAAATGAACCCTAACTAATCGTCTTCGCAACACAGACTTCTCACATAAACTCTAACATTACAGTGGGATATAACGAATATAAAACATAATTAACAACTAGGCAATTTGATGATTTAATTAAGAATGCCATGTGGCTAAATTGGAAATAGGACGTGACAAATATTTCAACATGTCACTCAAGATTCCATGACATCTAGCCAGTGGAGAGTGATCTGAGGGAATCTACATAACACAATGGGGGAATTAAAAAAAACTTTACGAGGGGCTAAAATCTGAATTCGCTAATATTGCAGGGGTGTTTTTATATTTAACCCTATATTCATATTATATATGTTTTTTCAAGACAAAATTTCTAATTTTTTATACATTAGAAGATCCTTTGCTTATGGTATTTCATTAGGAAGAGAGTATAAAAAAAGTACTGAAAGAAGTAAAACAAAAGGGATGCATTGTGAGTGTTGATAATTATATATGTATATGTATATTCTCTAGAATATTCTTTAGGATATATATATATATATATATATATATATATATATATATATATATATGTAATTATTACTAGGATTAGTAGTTTCTCCTATATAATGCATCTTCTGATGTGTTATTTAAACATACGGTTTATTCAAATGTCTCTTAGTCTCGTATTTGGGTTAAATATAAAAACACCACTGCAATATTAGCGAACAGTGTTATAACTCCGATTTGCCTTCCCTACATTGCATCGATTCATTCCGGCATCAGTTTTCAAATTTCTCTGGTCACCATCGAACTGTCGCCGCCACTGCTACTGTTTCAGGCCACCTTCTGGAAAATTAACCCTATCGGCAGAAGCGCCTCTTTCGATCTGGTCAATCCCATCGATTTTTTTCACCGCCCACTCGCCACCTTGCAACTATTTCAGATTTGATACTCATGGCTACTCCTCAGAACATTATGCCAAACCATGATGATTTCCTCAGGTGGTATAAGAATTATCAGAACTCAGATTCTACTGCTTCGATTTCACATTCTGGTACTTCATCCATTTTCCTCTCTCAAACATCTTCTCTTGGACCTTGGGTCCTTGATTCTGGTGCATCTGATCATGTTACTGGTAATAAAAATCTTTTCTTTTTCCTCTCTACCTCTGGTTTTTTATCTACTATAACTTCTGCCAATGGTTCTCAAACCCGATCCGAAGGAATTGATATTGTTCAAATTCTATCTTCTCTCTCTATTACTTCTATTCTTTATGTACCTAATTGTCCCTTTAATTTACTTTTAGTCGGTCGTCTAACTTGTTCTCTTGATTGTATTGTCACCTTCACTAATAATAATGTCACCCTGCAGGATCAGAGCTTGGGATGGACGATTGGCGCCGAATGTGAGTCTCAAGGTCTTTATTACCTCTCAATGTTATCCCAGAGATGCTCAATCAAAGATTCCCCACTCACTATCCATGCTCAGTTAGGTCATCATAGTCTTCTTAAACTACAAAAATTGGTGCCAAGTTTATCAAAGGTATCTAATTTATATTATGAGTTGTGTTAGTTAGAGAAAGACATTCGTAGTCAATTTTCCAATTGAGATAGACGAGTTTCGTCCCCTTTTGCTTTAGTTCACTCCGATGTTTGGGGTCCCTCACGTACTGTCTCTACTCTTGAGTCTAGGTATTTTGTCACATTTATTGATGATTTTTCACGTTGCACGTGGTTATTTTTAATGAAAAATAGATCAGAATTATTTTCTATTTTTGTAAATTTTTATAAAGAAATAAAAACTCAGTTTGGTGTGTCTATTCGTACATTAAAAAGTGATAATGCTCGTGAATACTTATCCCAATAATTTTAAACTTTTATGTCCAATAATGGTATTCTCCACCAAACATCTTACGCTCATACACCTCAACAAAATGAGATAGCCGAATGCAAAAATCAACATCTCGTAGAAATCACTCGGACCCTACTTCTCCATGGTAATGTTCTACTTAGATTTTGGGGAGACGTTGTGCTAACAACGTGTTACCTTATAAATCGCATGCCATCATCTGTCCTTAATAATAAAATTCTTCATTCAATCATTTTCCCCATTCCCCCTTCACCCAATTCCTCCCCGAGTCTTTGGGTCTACATGTTTTGTACACAATCTCTCTCCTGGTCTTGATAAACTATAAGTTTGATCACTAAAGTGTGTTTTTTTGGTTATCATCGATCCTAAAAAGGTTATCGTTGCTACTCACATACTCTACAATGATATCTCACGTCGGCCGATGTCATCTTCTTCGAGTCTGTTCCATATTTCGCGTCCAACCAAGTAACTCTGGAACCCCTTCAGGGGAGTACTCCCACACCTCTTTCGGAAGTCCCATATGTCATTATCCCCCATCATTCTAGGGAGCCTGACCCAATAAATAACCCTACGATTGACCCCCCGATTTCTCGTCCACTTCAAACATATCAGCATCGTCAACCAACGTCTGTCGTACCTGTCTTTGAGGCCGTACCTGTCCCTGAGGTCATACATGTCCCCGAGGTCATTGCAAGATCTCCTCCGACGCTCTCACTATCATCGGATCCGATCCTGCAACCTGAGTCCGATCTTCCGATTTCCCTTCGAAAATGTATACGTCAAACACAAAATCCTTCTCCACATTATATTGATTTATGCTATCATCGTCTTTCCCTTTGCAATATACTTGTTTGTCTTCTTTGTCTTCTGTTTTTTTTCCTAAAACTCCAGGTGAAGCATTATCTCACCCGAGTAGAGGCAAGCAATGATTGATGAAATGTGTGCTCTTCAAAGCAGTGGTACCTGAGAACTGGTTCCTCTACCCCATGGGAAATCTTTAGTAGGTTGTCTTTAGCTTTATACAGTGAAAGTTGGTCCAGATGGTAAGATTGATCGATTTAAAGCTCGCTTGATAGCCAAAGGATACACTCAAATTTTTGGGTTGGATTATAGTGATACCTTCTCTCCTGGAGCCAAGATGGCTTCTGTTAGACTTCTTCTAGCCATTACAAACATTGGACATTGGCCTCTTCATCAACTTGACATCAAAAATGCATTTTTACATGGTGATCTTGAAGAGGAAGTATATATGGAGCAACCACCCGAGTTTGTTGCTCAGGGGGAGTTATCGAATATGGTTTGTAGGCTACACATGTCTTTTTATGGTCTTAAGCAATCTCCGAGAGTTTGGTTTAGCAGATTCAACACTGTAGTACAACAATTTGGTACGGTCCGTAGTAAAGCTGACCATTCTGTCTTTTATCGTCACTCAGTCCAAGGATGTATTTATCTTATTGTATATGTAGATGATATTGTCATAACTGGTAGTGATGAGCAGGGAATACTCCAGCTGAAACAACATCTCTCGAATCAATTTCAGACAAAAGATCTTGGTAAACTCCGCTATTTCTTGGGTATTGAGGTAGCCCAATCTAAAGATGGTTTGGTGATTTCTCAACGGAAATATGCTATGGATATTTTGGAAGAAACAAGTTTGTTGAACGCTAAACCAGCTGATACTCCTATGGATCCAAGTGTCAAACTACTACCCAATCAGGGGAAGCCTCTATCAGACTCAGAAAGGTATAGGATATTGGTTGGAAAGTTGAATTATCTCACAGTCACTCATCCAGACATTTCTTTTGCAGTCAGTGTGGTAAGCCAATTCTTAAATTCCCCTTGTTAGGAAGACATGGACGCTGCTATCCGGATTCTAAGATACATCAAATGTGCTCTAGGAAAAGGTTTAGTGTATGAAGATAAAGGACATACTCAAATAGTTGAATACTCTGATGCTGATTGGACATGGTCACCAATTGATAGACGATCCACCTA